ATCATAGATTTGTTGAATAGAAATTACTGGGTCAAATGGTATGAAGATTTTTTTTTTTTTTTTTTTTTTTGCGGTACGCGGGCCTCTCACTATTGTGGCCTCCCGCTGCGGAGCACAGGCTCCGGACCCACAGGCTCAGCGGCCATGGCCCATGGGCCCAGCCGCTTCGCGGGATGTGGAATCTTCCCGGACCGGGGCATGAACCTGTGTCCCCTGCATCGGCAGGCGGACTCTCAACCACTGCACCACCAGGGAAGCCCGGTATGAACATTTTTAAGGCTTGTCATACATGTTTTCAAATTGCTTTTCAAAACCACTATGCCAGCTTATATTCAACCCATATTTACTGAGCCCCTACTATGTACTGGGACTGTTCTACATGCTAGAGATACAAGTGGTGACGAGTAGACAAGGTTCCTGCTTTAAAGAACATATATTTCAGTGATACAGATGACAAAAGCAATTATTCTGCTATCAGTGATAATTGCTCTGGAGAAAAATATGGCTGGGCTAGAAGATTGGTGGTGGCAATGGCAGGGCAAATATCTCAGAGAGTTTGTTGGACATGATGTTTCTGAGGACTTGACCTTGGGACACTGGACCTGAATGGAGGAGGGAGCACCCATGTGAGTCTCTGGGGAGGAGGTACACTTGGGGAGTCACAGCAGGGACAGGAGCCCTGGGACAGGACTGGGCAGTGTCAGAGGCCCATGTGAGTAGATGAGTGAGCCGGGCTGCCAGTGGCGGGCTGAGGCCAGGGTGGCCAGAGGGTCCCTGTCATGAGGGGCTTGTAGTCAGTGGTGAGGGACTGGGATTTCATTCTGCCTACGAAAGGAAGACACTGCAGTGTTCTGTGGGATGTGGTGGTGAGCATGTAGTCTGACTCACAGTTTAAAAATTCATGTCATCTGTTACGTGGGTAACAGACAGCAGGGCATGAGAGCCAGCAGGGAGCCCACCTAGAAGGCTAGCCTGTTTACTATTGTGGGGAGGACAGTTCTAGGACGGAAGCAGTAGAGCTGTGAGAAGTGACTGGATTTAATGTTGATACATTTTAAAGATGGCGTGAGCAGTAAGTCAATGAAGAACCACACATTTATTTACTTATCTTAATTCCACACTTGATTCCACGTGGCTTACGGCAACAAACTCAGTGTAATATACACGAATTATTTAAAAAGCAATATAAAAATATAAATTTTAAATGTTGAGACTGGGTTCAAGTTAGAACATTACTAGGCAAGCTGGAATATCTGAAACATTTGTTGAAATGGAGAGTTTACTGTTTACCTAGCCATGGATTTCACTGGCTCAAAATCTCTTATGATTATTGCCTAAAAGAGCCACGGGGTGGGGCCATAGCTCAGGGTCAGTCCCTTGTTTCCTGCTTCCGGTTCTGTACTTAGAGTAAAGCAGATTAATTCCAAGATGTTCAAAGATTAAATCAACATCTACAAAGTCATTGAGTAAATGTAAGAACCTCAGGAATTCAAGGAGATTTTACAGTTTTTCTCAGAAATGACCTCACTGTATGCTGCTGAAGAGATCGTGTCCTTTCTGGGGGCCCCAAGATGTAGGGGCTATTGAGCTATAGCCCTAAATAGAGTTGTTCTTTCTACCTAACGGGTCCCACAAAGCCTTACAGCCAACTTCAGTGGTGTCATCTGAACTAGGATTTTGGTTTTCTGAAGTTGGTTCTATTTGAGCATTTGTGTGGGCTTAAAAGTGTGACAAAGGTTTCCTTGCAATGATATTTCTTTGAGGGAATTTGACATCCACCCTCAGTGGCTCTGACCCTGACCAGTCCCTGGAGGGAATGGACTGTCCTGCACCGCTTTTCAGTATCCCTTTGTGTAGGAGTGACCTGTAGACTTGGAGTCACAGGGTCACCCCATCTCACCTTCCTCCCGAATGCAGAGTGCTTTAAGCCTTTTTTTTGGGGGGGGGGTGTTTGCAGTCTGCTGATCTGATGAGTGCCATTGTCCCATATCCAGAAATAAAGGCACACGTGACCGTAACACCAAAGTCTTGAATGTAGTGCCAAGGTGGGAAGGTTTCCTAAATTTTGACTCTCCATTTACACCAGTGGTTCCCAACTTGGGTACCCGAGATTTACACAGAGAGAGAGCTGGAGGGGGTGGTATGGGATGTCTAGAGGCGGAGCCACAGGTGCCCTTCAGGGTTTCTCTCAGTGGTCTTTGCCTCTCTTTTTTCCTGCGGTTCAGAGGAGTTTGTACTCCAGAAGTCTTTTGAAAAGGGTGAGAGATATTCAGGGATGGCTCTGGGGAGGGAAAAGGATGAGGAGTAGAGACAGAGCCGAGTGCAGCTGGACGAGAGGCGGGGCCTGGCAGGAGAGGGGGCTGGCCTGAGGGCAGCAGGTCTGGAGCCCAGCAGTTCACTGTGTGGAGTCCTAAAGCAAGTGAGGAATGGGGAGAGTGCAGACCTTCTACTGGCCAGAGAAATCAGAATTTGACTTAGTTTTGTTCTTGTGTTTCATCAGGTTCCTTCCTTCCTTCCTCCCTCCCTCCCTCCTCCCTTCCTTCCTACCTTCCTTCCTTCCTTCCTTCCTTCCTTCCTCCCTTCCTCCCTTCCTCCCATTTTTGGCCGCACCGCGCTTCTTGCAGGATCTTACTTCCCCCACCGGGATTGAACCCAGGCCCTCGGCAGTGAGAGGTTGTAGTCCTAACCACTGGACCGCCAGGGAATTCTCAGTTTCTCTGCGTCCTCTCCTTGAGCCACTGCAAACCCGCGAGCCAGAGCGAGCATCGCCCACATGGGCTGGATGCTCTGACCGAGACACTGCCATTGACCAGCATTCTTGAAACTTTACATCAGAAAGTCAGTGTCAAAAAAAAAAAAAAAGAAAGTCAGTGTCTTGTTCCTCAGACTCGCTCTGAAAGCCTTTATCTTTTCTCAAGGACAAATCGAGGCTCAAGGAATAAGGTTTGCCCCGACCTTTTCTCGGCTGGAGGACACTATGGCACCGCGGGTTTGGAACGTGGGTTGAGGATAAATGTGACGGGATCCCTTGTGTCCCCACTGATTTGCGCTTCTTTTTATTAGAGTCCGAGCCTCTCATAAATGTTTGTTTATATTCCGTGTACTCCACTAAAAACATCCCTTTGCAAAGCACTTTGAAAGATTCAGGGCTACGAAAATGTGAAGGATTATCCCAAAATACAGTTTCTGGTGTTGGATTTTAGTTAACATTTTGGTGTTTAAAAATCTGCAACTTATTGACTTTGGGGCTTAGTGTCATGATATTTTTAAGTGGAAATATTCACTCCCTGACCCCCTACACAATATAAATCCCAATTTACACTAAAAGAAGATTCCAATATTTCAGATAAATTTTAAGCCATGAATTATCTCACTCCTTGGAGATACCACTGTCAGAACTTCGGTGAGCAATCTTCCAGGGTTTCATCTATTTAAAATATATATTTTGGGGACTTCCCTGGTGGTCCAGTGGGTAAGACTCCGAACTCCCAATGCAGGAGGCCCGAGTTCCAACCCTGGTCAGGGAACCAGATTCAACATGTCACAACTAAGAGTTCGCATGCTGCAACTAAGACCTGGTGCAACCAAGTAAATAAAAATAAATTTTAAAATAAATGAGATATATATTTTGTAAGTGGTGTTAGTGGCATTATAATTCAGTACGTTCTCTAGCTTTTACAGAAGCTTAAAAGTGTGTTGGGCACATCTTTTCATAGCAATACATTAAAATCTATCTTACTCCTTATATTGGCTGCATGGAACTATGTCGCAAGGCTTTTCTTTGGGGACAGTGGAAATGTTCTACATCTTTACTGTGGTAATGGTGACATGGGCGCGTAAATTGCCAAAACTCAAGCCAGCTGTGCATTTCAAATAGATGCATTAAATTGTATATAAAGTATGTCCCTTCAAAGTTGATTTTTAAAATATTATCCTTTTTGGAATTTGTACTTTGGTTAGGTAAGCAAAATAAACAAAACACCTTGTTCTTGTTGCTAAGAGCTACACCCTGCACATCTGGAGGTGAAGAGTCCTGCTGTGTGCAACTTACTCTCCAGCAGTTCGGCAGTAACAGTAATAGCCGTCTATTTATGCATTCAGAGAGAGATCAAACAGCTATAGCAAACCTTGAATAAATGACAGAACTAGATAAAGAATAAAAATAAACGTTAGAAATCATAAAATTACATCGTTAAAAGTTTATTTCCCCGTAACTTTTTTCTCCCTTTTTCTTCTCTTTTCCTTTCTTCAACCCTTTCCCCCTTCCCTTCCTCCCTGCTTTCTCCACTCTCTCCTTTAGGGCTTATCCCCTGCATATTCAAACACACGAACACACGTGACTCACCTCGGACAGGTCTGGTACCGACGCCCAAGTCGATGCTCACCCGGGCGTTTTGTAAACGATGAAGCGTTGCCCAGCTCCACTGTTATCGTATCATTTCAGGCAGTCACCCCAGTCTTTGAAGGAAGTCACACTGAGTCTAAAGTAGTTTCCTCCCTGAACGTGGCAGAACCTCGGTGGTTTTTTGTTTTTGTTTTCTGGATCTCTGCTTTTCATTCGGGCAGGAAGGACTGGATTCAAAGGCCAGTTCCGCAGCGGGCGCTTTCCTTCCCGGGGGCGACGCGAGGCTGTAGGAAGTGTACTTAGATCCTAGAATCTAAGGGTGGGCCCCGCAGCGGGGTGGGCTGGAAGAAGCAGCTCCGAACTCAGGATCAATCCAGGTGCGGTTTAAAATAAGTCGAGGGGCTTCCCTGGTGGCGCAGTGGTTGAGAGTCCGCCTGCCGATGCAGGGGACACGGGTTCGTGCCCTGGTCCAGGAGGATCCCACA